CGATTCCAATGTAATAAATTATAACCATGGGATATTAGTGTTTAAGCATTTTATTTTATATATATATATATATATATATATATATATATATATATATATATATATATATATATATATATATTGAATTTGTAGGTCTAATGAATTGGATGGTAATTACGATTCCAATGTAATAAATTATAACCATGGAATATTAGTGTTTAAGCCTTTTTATTATGTTCTTACTCTGTCCTGGACATTGAGTTCTACCTGGATTTTATCCTCTTGGAAATTTATATATATGTGTATGTTTATGCATGTGTATGTATGTATTTATATATTTTATATATATATATGTATATATATATGTGTGTGTATATTATATATATATATATATATATATATATATATATATATATATATATATATATATATATATATATATATATATATATATATATACACTTTATGTTAGGATATTACATCAAAAGCATGTAAGAACGCTACACAAATGCAATCATGTTTCGATGTGTATTAACACATATCATAAGTTTTTATTGTCTGTTCACCAGTTATTTATAACGCCTGATGAGATGTGTTAATACACTTTATTCAAAATTCATTGAAGGTTATCCGTTTTGGCAGATACATGAAGATGGCGAGAGGGTACAACGATCGAAACATTGCTATAGTAACAAAGACAAAGACATTATTCAAGCTTTAGATGTTATAAATCGATGCTTATTTATGTTATATGTTAACATAACTGATAAATAATATTATGACTAATAATATAACATCTAAATAATAATAATAATTAATAATAATAATAAACAACAATAATAATAATAACATCTAATATTTAATAATACTTTTATTACATTTAATCTAACATTTAATAATAACTAAATAGTTGTTGTGGATTCCGGGATGAAATCCGGTACCAATAAATAACAAACGCCAGGAATGAATATATGAAAATAATGTATTAACGTAATAATACAAACTGGTAAAGCAGGTTAGTAGTTCCAGGAATACGGGTTAGTAGCAATATTATATATACAGTCTTTGGTATTGAAGTATCGCTGTATGACTTCTTACTGAGTCTACGTGTTCGCTCACTCTGACTCTTGCCCGTTACGTTCGTTCTGTCTGTCTGTTACCTTACTCTCACTCTTCCGGTTACCGACAACCTTTCACTCCCTCTTCTCTTCCGGTCTTGCTCTGTTCTCGGGTCTTCACGTAGCAGCAGTATATGTATATAGTGGGTGAGTTCATTTGTATAAAACGGGGAGAACCCCTCAACAACAACAATAATAATAATAATAATAATAATAATTAATAATAATAATTAACAATAATAATAATAGTTTTATGATAAGGCAAACAGCATAGTACTCTTACAAGGTTTCATGGCAAAGTGATTTCCACATCCCTCGTTGGCTCTCTTTGGTTCCCTCCGCTCTTTAACATGTTCCTTTAACGAGTGTAATCCACTATTGGCATCGCCTAAATAGACCGCTAGACCGCATTATAAACGTCGTAGTGCCCGAAATCATCAGCCAATTATCAGACCCACTGGAAGACGTAACCACTGTCAATAAAAGACAGTTGAAAGGTGACAGACACACCACAAAAGCCAATAATCTTCCCATCCTACAGACCATCGCTTTAGGCAAAAAAGAGGCTGACAATCTCACTGAATGTAGTGGAATAATATTCATAGAAACTCAGACATTGGCTTGCAACCGAGTCATCTGAAGGGAACTGGTCATCTGCTAAGCTGCGCAGAAATCCCACTACCAGACCCAGTCATAGGAACGAGGATGATAATGATGATATTATATTAATAAGATATCTCCTAGCGATAGTCTTGCTCTTTAACCTGAGATGGTTCCAAACATCTCGATGCGAAACCTTAGAACAGTTATCGAAAGAGACAGGTCTGATGTCGTAAAATAAATTTGAATTCCTATTACGACGGCCATTTTGAAGTAAGAGGGGTTGCGTCTAATGTTACTGGCGTGTCAGGATCACTCGAAGGAGATTAGCTCGCTTGGAACGGTTAAATCGACAACAAATTAAAACCGAATTTGCTTATCGGGACTTAAACAGGTAGATGAATGCGCCTCCTTTGTTCCTTTCTTTGGCGCCTGTAAACCACCCCCACCCAACTACCATCAAGTGAATCCAGATAGCGAGGCTCGTTTTTCAGAGTCGAAAAGCTGACACATGTATGTAAATATCTTTCGCACAAGCCAAACCTATGTTCACCTCCTTTTCTGTAATACTTTAACTATGGAATGAAAATTAACCTTTGATATTAAAAAAAAAGGTTATTAAGGATAATATTTCACACTCTCGATTACGAGGGGGACGTCCTTGAGAGGAAGTTAAAATTGTGAATGTTATTTAGACCCTTATGTATGCCTTGAGCTGTAGGGACTTGTTCGGCTCACAGTTGGAACACGCAAATAATTTAGACATATTCTAAAATCTAGTTTGGTCGGAATAGGCGTATTAA